ACCCCCTCCTGCCCCCTCCTGCCCCCGGCCTCCCTGCTGCTCTGTGCCCGAGGAGCGGAGCAGGATCCCGTGATCGCGGCAGGCCACCCCGCTCGGTGTGTCGGAGCTGCACAGCGACGGCAGGTACCCGCCTCTCAGACCCTCTCCTCTCGTCTCCACCCTCTGCTTTCTACTCTTTAATCCTCCTTCTCCACCTCCTGCATCACCACCACAACCGGCAACAAGTCGCAACGCCCGCCGGCTCGCAGCTGCTGCGGCCGGTCACACCGACAGCTTCTCCCGGCTCCCCGGGTCGGTGGGTGGGGTCAGCTCTCAGGTATGACAGAAGAGGAGCCTGAAGCCTCACCTGGTGGGTTTTACTTATTCTGAGGGTGTGCGTTGGGTTCTGTGCCGAGCTGGGCGGAGCAGAGAGCAGGTGGGCGGTGTCAGTCTGCAGACCACCTGAGAGCAGAAACCGGAAGCGTCGAGTTTAGGAAGAGGAATAACGACTTTGTGACGTCTGAGGCTTTCATTGGACTCAGATTTCAGAGCTTCATTTTCTTGTTACGTTTGTTTGTGAGTTTGTCTTCACAAACAGGATGTAGCTGATGTTTACAGACACAGCAGGCTGCAACTCACCAGCTGACCTTTCATGTAAAGAGGCAGCTCCATTAAGAAGCTGTTTAAAATGACAAACTGTTCACACATGCTCAGAGGTCAGCTGTGGGTCTGTGCTGGGGGATCAGTATCACTGCTGTGGCTGTGGATGGTTTCCGCTCTCGCCTCATGCCTTCAGGTTGACTCAGTTTGTGTTTTAAACTCCTCGCTGAGGGTGAGCAGGGTTCGCTTTACACGTCCCTGCAGAGCTGATCCACAAAGCTTCATTTTAGTTCTGAGTAACAGAAGCCAGGCCTGCACATTAAACCCACAGCGCCGTATTTCTGCCCTAACCACAGACTGTATATAAAAGATGGGCTCTACTCTAACTTTGAAGCAGCCACAAAATGATCCACAGAAACCAAACAGTTTGTGTATCAAGCTCTAAATAATGTTTGTTTGTGCTGGAAAGTTTTAACATGGGAGTCTATGGAGACTGACTCACTGCTACCTCTGCTGGACGCCAGAGGAACTGCAGCTTCTGGTGTTTCTCAGTGTTGGTTTATTTACACTCCTAACGTAGACCCTGAAAAACCATTGAGCATGCGTTCCTTTTATGGATAAATAAGCGATGTTTTCTGACGCGTTTACGTGGATAACACTCATTGCAGTTTGTCAGTGAGATTTTAGAGAAACCACCAGGATTAGTGTGGACTAGCTTGGCACAGCTCTTTTAGAGAACACGTTTCATTTTTAAACCTTATATTTCTTTAAAATCGCAGAACAATCCAAAAACTGGCTTTTCTAATAATTCCATTTCTTATGTCCCCCTCATCAGTTTCACTCCTTCACTTCCTGTTTGCTCTGCACATGTGCAGGAGCGCTTTCTGCAGCAGGTCACAATGATATTAATGCACAGCAGCTAACAATAGTTTAATTATGTTACTCACATGTTTGTGATGATTGTTATGAGTCAGGAACAATGTTCCCTCTAATCTTTCACGTGTCTGAGCGAACACACAAACTCCCTGTGACACTTGGACCACTGTGAGCGACAGCAGACGTGTGCACTGTGGTCACGCCAGCATCGAATCATCCAAGTTACATGTTTATTAAAGTAATCAAATTACAGCATTTATGTTAGACTACTTTTAATTA